ACGATTTTCTTCTCGGGAGTTAGATATGGAAGAATAAACATGTTGTTTCTCATAAAATCCAGAGTGGGCAATACATTAGAGTGTAATTATTAAAATAATGGCACCAACTTATTTTTGTGAGGGGAGGAAGCAAATATCACAATTGTACTGCAGCTACAAGGTAAATTCAGAAAATTAAGTAGTTGAGTTAATAAGCTTTCTGTACTTGTACAGATGGTTTAGAGTTTAATTCTAGCCAGAGGCTTTGCTTGCTCACATTATTTAATACCAACGGTTGCATCTTTTTATATCTTAGCACCAATTTTAGGAGAACTGCTACTCGTGACATCTTGTGTACAAATTGCTTCTCCCACCTCCTCCCCCATGCATGCACACACACACACACAGACAGTGCTACAGAGATTACTGTGCAGATGTAGGCTTTTGTCTATCTGCACAGGCATTTTCCAGGATGACCCGATTGAAGACAATTCTATTTTTTGTTTGGTGCTTTCTGTATCTGTCTTTTTTTTTAAAAAATTGCCAACCAATATTGGAAAATAGCGTAATGGAACCAAAATTGTTGTCTTCTATGGTGTTAATCCCTTTGCCTCGTGCAGGTAGGAAGGCTTAGAATAGTGCTCATACAAACTTCAAAAGCTTGAAAAAAGCAACAATGTGCATTGACACTTCCTGTGCTAAAGGTACGTACAAGCACAGTAGTTGAGCTGCTGTACAGCGTGACTCACTAACAGTCTTGTTGTAATTTATGCTGTGACCTGTTGGCACTTGCAACGTTGCAAACCGTGGCATCTAAAGACTAAATACAAAGTACAAGACAATGCAATCTGCGGTCTATTCTTTTTTTAATAACATAACTGAAGAAGGCTGATTATGACACCCATACACGGACAAGTTGAAAATGAGACATTTTAATTTTTAAAACATCCTTGGCACTGCAGACTGCAGAATAATGCAAATTAAAAAAATGTTCTGATAAATATGCTTACCAAAATGAGCGTGCCAGTGCTGGGGGTTTCAAACCTTTTCCTTTCCACCTGCAGCATCAAGAGTCAGCACAAGCACCGTTCCAAAATCGGATGCAGAATAAAGCTGCCTCTGCAATAATCCATTCCTCTACAACAATAACAACTTGCATTTATATAGCGCCCCTCGCGCAAGGTAGCGTCCCAGAGCGTTTGACAGTGAGAGAGGTGACCCAGAAGTCAGCCATTTTAGTGTGAAAACCAGGAAGAGAATGGGCTGAATGCATGATTCGGGTCGATACTGTAACAGTGTTACAAACTGAATCTGCTCTATAAAGAAGCATGTTATAATGGGGCTGCATGGTACCCGATTCTATGATAGGAAGATGGTAGGAAAGGTATTTTTTTGAAAACTCGATCAAGTAAACAAGAAAACCCGTACCTCCCTTTTGGTCTTGTAAAATATTGTCTCAGGCAGTAGGCTTTCATATCTGTCTAGAGCATAATTCTCCTAAAGTTCATACTTTTCCCGCTTTATTATACAGCAGTGGAAATTGGTTATGAAGCCACTTGTGAAATGAACCAGATGTGTATCTGTGATTTGACTGAAGCTTTGCTCCTGTGTGTAATGTGCTGAGGAATGTTTGGAGAGTTGAGAAGAAATGATAGCTGACATTCTTATTCCAAAAATATGTTTTCTCTGTGTCACTGCAGTTTCACCTGCTCAAAGCTATCCTCCAATAGAAACTTTGACAATCGGTGAATTACTACTGCTCGTGGCTCGATTTAAGGAATAATCCAACGTATCCAAAAACTGCCCTGAAAGTGGTCGCTAGAGTCTGGTTACATTATAATTAATTATTACATATATGTAAGCGCTCTGGGACACTACCCTGTGTGAAGGGCACTTTATAAATGCAAGCTGTTGCTGTTGTTGTATATGTTATTATATTATATATAATTATATATTATCATCCTGTCTTTATAATGGATTTGAATATAAATGAGAAATTTATGATAATTGAACAATTAGTCTAATTCTTGCAGATTTGTCATTCAAATCATAAATTACATGTAAAATAATTTGGAAACCCTGTGCAGTTATCCCATATTACCAGTAATTGTCATTCTGCTTCATCAGATCAAAGAGCATGATAAAATCTGTGAGTTAGGACAAATAACTGGTGAAGGTTGCAAACATAAGTCACTTGCAATGAATGTCTTTATTAATAAAATATTTGAGGATTTAACTGTGCACTAGGGACGTTCTGTACCATGCACCATAACTGTACACACTCACTAAAAGTAACAATTAAAGCAACACAGGAATACAAAAGAAAATCTATTATAGCGTAAATCAATACAATAAATCTATTGAAGACATCAAGTTCTGGATGAGAGCTAACTCACTACAGTTGAACATCAACAAGACTGAGACCCACCTAATTGCCTCCCATTAGCACTTCCACATCTCAGGCAATGGCAGCATCACCATCCATGGATGCACACTCTACCTCACTGAGCCAGTCCAGAACCTTGGCGTCTTGTTTGACCCTCAATTGTCCTTTCTTCCCCACATCCGTGCATGTCCTGTCTACCTTCCCCCCTCTCTGCCACTGTCTCTCCCCTCAGTCCGCCAAAACTCTCATCTACGCATTTATCACATCCAGGCTCAACTACACCAACTCCCTGCTTATCGACCTTCCCCCCGCAAGCTGCAGATCAGAACTCTGCAGGTTGTGACCTCTCCCACACCAGGCTCCACGATCCTATCACCCCCACCCTTGCCCGGCTCCACTGGCTTCCCATTTCTCAGAGGATAGAGGTAAAAGTCCTCATCTGTGCCTTCGAGGCCCTCCATGGCCTTCCTCTTTCCTATCTCTGTGACCTGCTAATCCCATATCAACCTGTCCGCTCCCTTCCACTCGAAGGCTCCAGCCTTCTCCACGTCCCCCGCTTGGCCCACTCAACAATCAGCGGTCGGGCCTTCAGCTTTTCTGCCCCTACCATTTGGAACTCCATACCACTGTCCCTGCTCGGTTCCAAATCCCTGACTGTCCAGCGCCTTGGGACGTCCTCCTGACTGTCCTCCTCAAATGTAATTTTGTATTGTATTTTTTGTATTGCCTAATATGCATCTATGAAGTTGCCGAGGTGAATTGTTATTGCTTTGTCTCCAAGCCATCCTGCCTGATTCCTGCTGATGCCTTCTTGCTTCCAATCCTGTCGGGCCTCACTCTCTGGCCCATAATATTTGCTCCATGACCTTGGGCTCGTTTCACGTCTCGTGCCCCTTCTACTCCATCACCATCAAAGCTTTCAGCTATTATGTCCTTATTCTTTGGTATTCCTTTCTTAAATCCGGAGCTCCATCTCTCTGTCTTTGAAACTCATCTAAACCTGCCCCTTCAACGATGCCTTCAGTCACCTTTCCCCTTCATTCTTTCACCTTACTCAGTGTTTCCTGTCTATCTGAAGCTCCTTGAAACATTTTCCTACATGAAAAGTGCTGTATAAATGTAAATTATTTGTCTCTGCTGCACTCACATCAAAGTGCTTCAGTTCTATACATCCACAGTCCATAATCCATGTTTTTGTCTCTTGTGGACATTACAATCTCACTTTCAACAGTGTCAATTTTAACTTCCTGCCTTTTGTATTAAGTATAACAGATTACCCTCTCTGGCCATCTTCCTCCTTCCCCTTTGCACCTCATAAATCATTGGCATTGACACAGCAAAGGTCATCTAGTCACTTTTTTTCTTGCTTTCAAATGTAACCTTTTATATACCCAATGATGTATTTTAACATTGTTTCCTCAACACATTGATTTTTTTAGCTCTGCAGCACAGATCCAAGGCTTACAGGAAGACTGACAGATCGCTGTTATTGCTAAATAGCTGACGTCAACTCAATCATGTTCCTTATGTACAGGCACATTGTACTGCTGGTTAGCAGTATACTGAATTTTGTTTGGTTGGAGTAAATAATGAAAATAATTTTTGCATTTGACATACTGCTTTTCATGTCGGGAGGACATCTCAAAGCTCTTTACTGGATTTACTGTAAAATGTGGTGACGGTATTTTGCAGGGAAACTCTGCATAATAGAAGTCCGACTACTTGGGCCTAACCATTGTGATGGATTCCAAATATAGCTTTAGTAATAAACTGTGAATAATTACAGTAACTTTGTTAAACGTGTAATCAGATGTGCTCAAGATCTGATTAGCTTTGTTGATAGAAGCTTTGTCTCATATACCAGCACAGACACAATGGACTGAACGGCCATCTTATGGCTTCATAAGATTCACAAGTAGAGAATCCTGCATGTACTGGTCTCCTTGCAGTTTCATTTGGAAGCCTGCCTCATATTTGACTTTTTTGAAGTTTGATTGAAATCAATGGAGGACCCTGACTGGAGGTCAGATGAGAACCGTGCCCACATGGAGTTCAGGGAGTGGGGGAGAAGCACTGGGAGGAGTCAGCGGGAGACGCATTCAGGTACAGGAGTCCTGCAGCTCAGTGGTTAGAGCACTCGCTTTGCAAGCGAGAGACCTGAGTTCAATTCCAGTCGGGGCGAAACCTTGGGCAAGTTTCCTTACTCCACACAGAGCTTAATAATAATCCCTCCAACACCAAAAACAATAATAAATTGGTCATTTTCAATCTACGACTGTTTGTGGGACATTGCTGTGCGCAATTGGCTGCCGCGTTTGCCCACAAATATACAGTCAATTCACTTTACAGTGTGTTCTGTGAAGCGCTTTGGGACGTCCTCCCGACGTGAAAAGCGCTATATCAAATGCAAGGATTATTATTATTATTATTATTACATGCAGGAATCTATATTTATGTATTTCTGCAAATGAGAAGGTTTCCAGACAGTTTCTGCTTTCAATGATTGCATTCCTTTTTGTTCTCTACCTCTGCTAATGGACTTCATTTTGTACACATGTTAACTGTTGCTTATTGCTACCTTCACTCCTAGAAATATTAGCAATCTGATTGAATTGTGCCTGTCCCCTCTCTCTAGGACCCATCCTGCTGGGAAGATGTGCTGGTTAGAAACCGGTTGATGGGTGTATGTCAAGCACAGGATTGTGATGGAACTGTGGCTGTAAGTCTGGGATTTCAGTTTATTATTCACAAACATTTCAAATGTGGGTAATGCTTAATCTTGTTTTTTAAATTGTGTTTTGCAGTTTTCAGGGTGAGAGTTACTCTTATTCATGAGCTATTTTCTTCCTTTCCCATTTTTCCCCCTGGTGTTCTTGACCTCTGGCCCAAATCCGTCTCTGTAAAAAAAAATACATTTAAAATTGCATAGAATTGTGAAAAAAATCTTAATTTCAGTCTTAATCTGGAAACCAGTTCTGTTCAAAGAATTTTCCACAGTTCTGTGTGATCTTAAATTTTAAGACAAAATCATTTGACTTGCTAACATTTCGCAGAATTTCAGGTTTTTTATTCCTTTCCCGACCAAGAAAGCAGATGGCTTGCTTCCAGGGCTTTGCCAATTTCACAGCACATAGGGGCAAACACAGTCACACTCCCCAGCCATCAATTACACACACAACAGAATGCAAGAGCAAATAAAGCTTTCACGTGTGGCATAATAATTCTAAGTTTTAAAAAATCATATTCGACACCATTATAAGATCAACATCAATTTGCACTGATATAGTTTTGAGATGCCTCAATTACATGCTATATCAAATGCAAGGATTATTATTATTGCACTGTGGTTGTTCCTGGTGGATGCTCCTTTAAGAGTAAATTGACAATTAACAAAAGGGTCAGTAAGAAGAAGGGCAGGAAGTACAAAAGGACATTAGGAGTGGGACAAAGTGTATGGTTTTAGAGTGGTGGATTTATGAGTGTTTGGATTGACAAATAAAGAATCTACTAACACACCCTTGATTTGGATTGAATTAAACTACAGTTCCTTTTTCTGGTGGCTTTTGGACACCCATTGTCAATATAGGACTGGAAAATACCATCCATGGTGGTCTATCTGGCCCAAAAGGTCCCAGTATAAAACATTATTTTAATACAAAACATAATCACTAATACATCTCCTTCTGTTTATTTCTGTTTTGCTAACAGGTGCTGCAAAAGGGTGTCCCAAAAGTTACCATGGTATGCCAGAAAGGTCAACTCGTAAAATGTCAAAAATCAGTATTTTGCATAAAATAGTGAAATAAGGATATTTCTATCAAAATTACATAATTCAGAGCAGGGATTATTTCCAGTCAGCTCCTGCAAGCCGAATCCCTAATGGGTAGAGTGGTCCAAGGTGGACAAGCAGAGGAAGCTTGTCAAGACAGTGCTCTCAATGGCAAGCTGTGAGATATTAGCTGTACCCCATTTATAGAGTCCCCAAGCCTTGGTTTAAGCACTCTGGGACTCTACCTTGCGTGAGGGGTGCTATATAAATGCAAGTTGTTGTTGTTATTTGGCTCTTGACAGTTTGAGCCTAAGACTCCCTGGTAAGTAGTAAAAGTCCCTCCAGGGAGAGCGTGCATTCCATTCCAAGCATGGACGTTTTCATGTGTAGATGGTATATATCTGTGGAACACTGTCTGGTTTGAATACTCCTAAGCACAGTGATTGGTTTCTGCAAGTGTCGGACCAAAACACTTTTTGGTTGGCCGTATCTTCCTTTATACTACAATTATGGTTCTTGTGTTTTTCTCCACCAAGCTACACATGATGGTAAAGAAGAATGTATTAACATAAAATCAACACAATGCTATCCCTGGAGAAAATGACAGGAATGGAGAGCGTTTCCAAAGTAAAAGTATATTTACAAGGAATAAGTACTCATGCACCAATTAAATTAAACAAATTGAAACCTCTGCACTTCCTGAAAGGATGGTGGAAGTGGATTTAATAGTAACTTTCAAAAGGGAATTGGATATATACTTGAAAAGGAAAAAATTGCAAGGTTATGGGGAAAGAGTGGGAGAGTGGGACAAGTTGGTCGCTCTTTCAAAGAACCGGCACAGTCATGATGGGCCGAATGGCCTTCTTCCGTCCTGTAAGATTCTATGATTCTATGACTGCTTCATAAATATATTAACTATTTTGTGCAAGTGTTTACAGGGGAGGACATTTGAAATACGACGACCAACATATGTAGTATGACCTCTGGGATTCTGACATTAGTTAAGCTAAAGGCACTGAAAAACAATACATTTTTGCAGGATGAATTCTACCCAGGATCATTAGAAAGACAAAGACAGGAGATTTGTGAAGCACTGACAGTCAGTTTGAAATAGTCAATCATCGGTAGTGAGATACCGCTTGTAACACACTAGAAAGAACCAAATGTGTTTCTTGTTTACAAGAGAATTGACAACAATTTCCTGGCAACTGAAGACTCATTTGCCTGGTTTGAATATGCTCTGAACACTGAACGTTATAATATGATGATAGTTTCTGCTTTACACAGAAGGGAAACTCCTGTTTTCCTTAAAAATAATATACAAGTTGAACTGTATACCCAAAGGAACATTTCAGTAAATAGGGGAATGTTAGATGATAAATGTGGTCTGAATATACATATTTGTAAATGGCCCGTTGATTGTTAGCTGCCCTCTTTTAGCATTAACTTCTTCTTATTTCACATGTGAGAGTTGATGTATTTAGTGTGCTGGAGAGTACTGTGGCTTAACATCCATGATGAAGAACCAGTGGTGACTCAGCCCACACCTGGCATCAGTCTGGTAGCCAGAAGCGGACCATGTCTCTTTCATATCTGTTATACAATCTCCTAATTAGCTGGAGGCACTTGGAAAAGGGCACTTGGTTCAAACTCAGTGCGATATAATTGTGTTCCATTAGACTCTTCTCCTGACAGACCTAAAGCAAAAAAGGCATTTTTAAATGGAATATTGCTCAGACACAATGCATGTCTCCAAGTCCAATTTTGTATTTGTCTCATCAAAGCTGCTTTGTGGCCTCTTTGCCTTTCTTCATTGAATATGGATAGGCAGTCTTAAATATTTCTCTGATGTTCCTTTTCTCCATGCTGTGGAATTTGACTCCAAACAATTGTGAATGGAAGACTGCACAAATTCATGCTTGTAATATAAAATTCAGATCCAAACCTAATTACTTTATTGAACAGCTTGTAACTGGTAAATGCACTGAATTAGCTTGGATGCCAAAGAGCATTCATTGGATCAGACAATTAGGCTTATTTGTGGCCTGAACTTTTGGTGTGGTAATAAATTTAGTTTGGTTTAATTGAAGAACATTACTGGAGGAAGGATATTCTATTGTCTTTCTCCCGCACTCCCCATTAGCCCTGTTTTAATTTAAGGGCCATCAGCCTGGTGCAGTTTGTAGCTCTGAGACCACTGTTAATTCACTTCATGGCTATTTGTAAGACATTGCTGTGCTCAAATTGACTGCTACATTAATTTACAAATAAACAGTCACGGCACGTTATAGAAATCTCTTAAGTGGTTTGAGATGTTTCAACATATTTCTAGAAATCGTTGTATTTTCATGTCTGGAGGATGTCTTGATGTGCTTGGCTGGATTTACTGTGAATTGTTGTAACTTGTAGGTGAACATGGCAACGAGTTTTCACACACCAATGTTCCCCAAAATAGCATTGTATCTGAGGGATATAAGCCTTCGTCAGTTCTGACGAAGGATTGTGGACCCGAAATGTTGACTCACTTTCCTTTCTCCACATATGCTGCCTAACCTGCTGAGTGTTCCCAGCGACTTCTGTTTTTCTTTGCATTGTATCTGGGGGATTGTTGGTCAGGACACCGGGAGAAACTTCTTTCCCTTTTTGAATGGTGCTACGATGCAAACACTTTAGTTTTCCTCTTTTTTTCTAACTCCTCTGTCTCTATTTTCATATTTTCTTGCAATCTTTCACCACATACATCCTATGGTCCCAGATTGACCCACAGTGCCAAGAAGGAAAGCCATGCCTTTGATTAGTTTCTATGTTTCTTATTTCCCTCCCCCTTCCCCAATTGTTTTACTAATTTTCAGAAGTTTATTTTTAAATAACATAAACGTGAGACTGAGAAGTTGAAGCTAACATGGTCATGGCTTGAATTTAAAATTCATTTCAAATTCCTTCTCTGCTATTTCGAGCATGTTAACACAATTAAGTATGCAAATAACAGTAAGTGCACAAAGGTTGCATGCAAAAGAAGTGGGTTTACCATCTCGTTGTTTTCTCTCCAAACAGATGACTTCTTTCATTCTGTTCTTTGCATTCCTGGGAATGCATATACTGAAGCCAGTTTTATATTATGAGTTTGTCTGCAGAGCTGAGCCAGTTTCTGGAGACGTTGTTGTGTAACTATCTACCCTGAGGGAGAGGTGAGCAGAGTTCCCTTGGAGCTGAGTTGACTCCAAGGTGATATGCTTGGCAAAGGAATGCCAAAATTGACTTGGTGGCTTGGTGGTTTGGTTCCTGACTAGACTGGTGCTCAATATCCCTGTATGCGGTTGCAGTGGGATATCTGGCTGCTGTTACTTTTACACAATAGTTTGTCTCCAGAGGCACCTCATGGTGTAAAATCTGGATTTTCCCAGCTGCAGATCGTTCAGACACAATTTTTAAGTTGGAGCTCCTGTTTCCTTCAGCCACTCTGACTCGAGTCCTGTGGCTTTGTGTTAAGAGCACTTACCACAAGCCAGAGGACTTGGTTTCGATTCCCGGGCAGGGCGAAACGTTAGGCAAGTTTCCTTACTCTACATGCCTCTGTTTATCTAGCAGTAAGTAAGAACGTGGTTGTTAGTCGAATGGTGGATCTGGAGGTAATAATCCTTTCAAAAAAATACTAATAATAATTTATAATAGTAATAGTCACTCAATCCACGACTGTTTGTGGAAAACTGCTGTGTGCAATTGGCTGTCGCGTTTCACCAAGAAAATATTAGTCAATTGACTTTGCAGTATATTCTGTGAAGCACTTTGAGACTCCTTGAAGACATGATAAGGCGCTGTATCAAATGCAAGGGTTATTGTATTATTATAAGGTTGGAAGGCAGAGTGGAGTTAACAATTTTCCATGCCTGTGCAGATATCTTAACATCACATAAGTATTGTCATTTTCCCACAGTTGGTGAATAGTGGAGAGATTTCTAATAGCAGTCCTTGCATGCACGATATCACTGCAATACTTAGGTGATAATATTAGGACATTTACTTATGAATCGCATGCTTATCGCATGATTTAAACAAACAAGTGGACAATCGACACTCATTTGATTAGAACACAAAATATTTTACTGGCTGTTTGCCTATGCAATTGAATCCCTCTACTTTGCCCCCTCTTCTGCCTTCAAGTTGCACCTGAAGATTTTCGTCTTCAGGAGCCCAAGCTGGCTGAAAGATAAACGGTGGACGGCATAGTTAGTTGAAGCTGGTTCTGCAGAGAGTGATTTTTAGACTGGTTTTGCAAGCAGAGAGAAAGGGGGCCAGGTGAAGGGATTTTCGTCTACGGTCACCTACCCTTTCTCCCTAGCTTGAGTCAAAGTTCGCCATTGCTCAGCATTTCAAAGTATTACCTCATGTGAAGGGCACTCTATAAATACAAGTTGTTGTATGCAAACATCTTTGATGTCATTGCGATTCTTGTACTCTGGAGGTCAAGTAAGAGTTTCATTGCCAGCTTTCAAGATTCTGGACCCACAAAGTCAAGGTAGTGTTAGTTTCGCCCTCTAACGTTGTGAAAAGTGGTCCAATGACTCCAGGATTGATGAGCTCTCCATTTCTAACACAGAAAGAAGAGGATGGTGAATCCACAGTCTTAGCATCAATGGTGTCTGTCTTGAGCTTTAAGAAAGCATCAAAATATAAAGGATAATCTTGGAAGTCAATTTGCTTTCATAGTTTTGAATATCTTGGCCACTAGTTGCAAAGCTTTTAACAATCTTCTGCATTTCATCTGCACATAAGTAGTTTTTTTGTCCTGCAGAAGTTTCTGCAGCTTCAAAAAGGAAATGTTGCATTGATTGGCGAGACCTTTGTGATGGGGGGTGGTGGGGAGAGAAGGGGAAGGTGCTTGCACGCATACAGTATTTGAAAGGGTGCACTACTTAATTAGCATTGCCAGTACCGGAATTGCACTTGTGCCACCAGCAATTTGCCAATTAAGAGTGTATAATTAAACCCAAATTAAATTAATTTCTCATGGAGCTGCTCTCCTGCTGTCCCGCCATTTAAATCTGGTCAGGCTGAACAGACGGTAGCTGCGTGTAACCACTTACGTGCTTCCTATCCCATTCCGTAGGGCTGCCCGTCAGACAGTGACAGACATGTTAAACTGGAGTGAGTGTGTCTGGAGGCAAGGAACAGCTGTGATCAGAATTTTTGGACTAACACTTATTGTGGGTTTTTTTGTTGCACAAAATTTCCTCCAAAAGGAAGAAAGTGAGAGATTTTTAAAAAAATAAAAAGCAAGGCTTAAAATAATGCAGGCTGCTTCTTTGAAAGAAACAACAATTTGCACTTGAATAACGCCTTTTATGTAGAAAATAAGTTTTTTCATACTGGTTCTTATCTAATGTTTTCAACCACAAAATACGATCAATTCACATTACAGTATATCCTATGAAATACTTTGAGATATCTCAACCACTTGATAAGCTATATCAAATGCAAGGATTATTATTATATTGTTACATGAGCGTTTCCAAGGATGGTACACATAGTGGGAGCCCAAGCTGGGTGAGAGATAAACTGTGGATAGCGGGGTTAGTTGAAGGTGGTTTTGCAGAGAGTGAATTTTAGACTGGTTTTGCAAGCCGGGAGAAAGGGGGCCAGGTGGGGGGGCTTAGGGAGAGCCCCAAAGAGCGGTTTGAAGGGAAATCTCCAGGAAGCTTAATGGGCATATTTCCTTTATTTTCAGTGGCTATTTTTTTCTTCCAAGAGTCATATTTTCTCTTCTATAAATTCATCAGAATTCAGTGATTCTTTTCTCTCTACCACACATGACTGGAAACAATACAATACAAAATTGCATTTGTATAGCGTGTTTTGCATCTGGAGGACGTCCCAAACAGCCACTGATCAACATTCTTCTTTAATGGTATTATCGAATGTACCCAAAAGGTATCTGAATCTTATACTCATCCTTTCGTCAGTCAATTCACTTTACAGTATATTCTGTGGAGCACTTTGAGATGTCTCAATGACGTGATAAGGCGCTATGTCAAATACAAGTATTATTATTATTAGTGCATACTGGTTCCTTCTGCGGTTTTCACCCCTACTAATATTATTATTATTATACCTCTGTATGGATTTTCACAAGAAACACTTTACCAGTTTAAAAGATGGTCAGCAGCTGCCGTCTCTCCCCTTTGGACTATTTTCCCCATGTATTCCAACCCAGTGTTGGGCAAGGATAAAACCCAACACTCGCTTACATTCCTTTAGATTGACTAGCTGATTCAGTATTGGGTATAGAAGGAAAGGCACACCCCAGATTCTACCTTAAAAATGACCTCTTCCAGCTAATTGTATTTTGAATTAATCAATGGGTTTTCTCACTCTGTATTCAGGTGCTTGGTAGATTATTCCGAATATTTTATAACTTTTGAGATTTCTAGAGATTCCTTCAAAATGTACAGCTCTCTGATTTCCGTATATGTCCTTTGGCCCAGCTTGACAAACTCTGAAGTAATTTTGGGTTTTCCTTATCTACACCATTAAATGGTTTATGTACTTCGATGAGGTCTTCACTACATGCCTTTCCTTCCAGACTGTAAAGCTTAAATTTCTCTAATCTTCTGCAGTGCCAATCCCCTTTACGCTTGGGGGCTGTCTTCTAGGAAAATAAATTACAAACCTAAAAGGTGCAGCAAACTATCTCTGTAATGCAGTTGCTCTAGTTAAATGTTAATGATATTCACATCATTGTACAATTACTTTGGTGATTGTTTACAGTATGGTTTTTACTTTTATTTTAGGAGTTTTACACTTTCGCATATTTCTCAATTCCTATCTCTCACTCTGTTCTTTTTCCTTGTTTTCATTGATATTCTTTAACCTTAGGGGTGCTTCCGAGCTATCGCTAAAGTTGCAGTAAATTCTAAAATGACTTACGTATGGGTCAGCACCCATGACACGATTGACTTGCATAAATAAACTGGTTATAGTGGAACATTCAATGCCACTCAGTCAGGATCAGGATTCTAAATTGAAAACCAAAACATCAAATGCAAGATAAACCATTTCATTATCTCTGCTATTCCCCTATCTCTCCTTCTCCCCTTATCTCTGCTGTCCTGGCGATCTTTGCCACAAATATCTCTCTTATCTCAACACCTTTGTGCCTGCCATTCCTATTGCCCAAGGGTGAATGTGGAGTTTTTTTTGTGTTAAGCCAAGGTGGGAGAACAGATGGACACGGTCAACTATACATGATGTTTGTGTGACACCTTTGCAGCAGGAGCAACAGTGTGGAAGGGCTGATAGTCAGGCACTCATCTTCCTGGTTTCACTCAATTATTTTGCAGTTTTTCCATTTCTTAACAGGACTCTGCAAAAGTTTATTTGCACGATCCAGTCTGATAAAGTACACATGCCAAAGGAAGAACGCCTCACCTCAGGGGGATTGTTGCATCTCTCACTTACTGTACCATACTTGTTCCATAGTGGGGCACAGAAAGTGTCAAAAGCACAAAATAAACAGTGGGTGGGACGGATATTGGTGTGCAATTGTCTACACTTTGACACTGCTTCTTCAACCAAACAATGGGGAGAGGTTTTGCCAAGCTGGAACCCAGATTAATTATTTGAACTGTGATCCTGGATTTGTTTAGGGAATATGCAAATATCTCTCATGGAAGGGTCAAGAAAGGGAGTTCCAGACTTTAGGGGCGTAGAATCTGAAGGTGGCCCAGAGTGGTCGGGGAACAGATAGCTAGCCCAAGCTTGCCGAGTGGAGGGGACAAGCAAACAATGGGGTGCGAGAAGTTTAGAGAGATGATGAGGTGCTAGGGCATGAATGAATAATAATAATAATAATAAGAAGAAGAAGAAGAATGTGAGGATGGGAGCCTTCATATAGAATAGGTAGGCGATGGGTAGGCTGTGGAGTCTGGAGTTGACTGGTGTGACCGTACAAAAAGAGAAGGGAGCTTCTCATGGGATACTGGCAAGCATTCTTCCATATTAATAACTCATTTACTTCATAGCTGTTGTGGGGGCTTTGCTGTATGCAACGTGACTGTTTTTGCTTACAAAAGCAATCCATGCATAATATTATAAATATCTTGAAACACTTTGAGATATCTATCCTTGTTTAAAAATAATCATTGTTCTTCAAATTTTGAAAAGCAAATACATTCAGTGGCTCATTGTAATATTATGGTAACTTAGAATCATTGTACACAAATGGAAAATGGAAAAATGGTGATTGGATCCAAGTGAAGTGAAGCCTAAGTGGATTGACACATGTTACCAAGACTGAAATATTCCCCTAATTGCTGCTTTCACTTTGCAGGAGTTCTACTTCAAATGTGGAGCACACCCAACCTCTGACAGTGATACATCAGTGGTTTTGAACCTAATTACCCCAAACAGGCAGCACGTGCCCTGTATAACTTGTACTGATACTGGGTAAGTATCTCTATTTTCATGTGCACACAATTTACCAATATTTTACTTAAAAGGCAAAAATACTTGTCAACAAAATGTCATCCAGGTTCTACACCTTCACAGAAATGGTGGGCTCAATGCAATAGAGGCAAAATCTAGGATTATTCAAAGGCCAGTTGAACATCATGATGAGAAAGTTAATGTTCTGGAGAGATGAACTTGGTACACTATTACTTTTCAACCTGCTTTATTTTCTTATGCTCACTAGTCTGAGTGCATTTCTTCTCTATTGACTTAGAGTGGATAAGACTTTCAAAATATATTTGTTTTTGTTTGAATTTTTGTTTTTGTTCAAATTTGTTACCTGTGTTGCAGAAAGCATTTTTTGTGAATGGATTTATTTCCATATTAAATTAATGATGAACCTCTCCAAAATACTGTATACCAAAGTGCTTCTGGGCTCAATTGCTACTGCGTGTTTTCTGTGCTCCAGTTCTTTAAAAACATTTATTTTAAGGAATAGTAACTTGCATTGATTTAGTTGGCAATGCAGCCAGCACTTAAAATAACATTGTAAATAGCAGCAAGTTCACAAGTTGCCTTTGTGTTTCCTTAGTGATGACATTGATTAATATCTGATTCAAAGTGATCTACTCTTAAGAACTTGCTGTGCACATCAGCGATGACTCCTATTGGGTTAATTGATCTAACAGGCTACATCTTTCCTCCCCTCTAATGTTCACTTTCAAGAAAAATGCTATAATGTTCAAAATCAGAGTTGAAAATATCACGATGTGAAAGTCCTCCGCAGCGTGTCTTAAATTGTTCTTTGCAGGCTGGGCTCTTAGTCTTGTAATGCTTTATCAATTGATTGGTTATGGTGCATACACTCCTGGTTATCTGAAGAAACTGTGAGATCCTAATCTTGCTTCCTTTCGTGCAGTACCTCCAGAGAGAGGGAGAAAGATAAGTACCTCCTTAGAAAACATGTCAGGACTGACACCAGGAAGATTTTGTTGCCAGAGAGTATTGAATGAGTATAACAAGTTATCAGGTGGGTGAGGCCAGCGGACTTTGATAGGAGGACAATCGGGTGGGTGTTCTGGAAGGATGAGATCAAATGGACATTCTTTATTTGAACCTTATTTGTGATCTTGAGAGAAAATTTGGAAGCAGGTGGAGCCTTTCACGGATCTCAAAGCATGGGATAGTTTGGCCTTGTGTGGGTCTGGCTCAGTTTGTAGCACGCTTGCCTCTGAAGGTTGTAATTTCAAGCCTCACTTTGGAACTTTGAGTTAACAGTTTAGGCTGACACTCTTGTGTGGTAATAATAATCCTTGCATTTGATATAGCACTATATCACATTATGGAGTTGTCTTACAACAGTTCACAGGATTTTACTGTAAAGCGTAGTCACTATGTATTTGTATCAAATATGGCAGTCATTTTGTGCGCACCAATGATTCAACAAACATCCATGAAGTGAATGACCAATTTTGTCTGGGAGATTTGTAACTAGGACACCAGTAGAAACTCCCTTCTCTTTTCAAATAGTCCACTTGTACAGGCAGATTGGACCTCCAAATCATCCAAGTGATTGCACCTCTGACAATGCAACACTCCAGCAATATTGCTGCGGAGAATCCTGTTCCAAAAGTTATATGTCACAGATTTTGTAAATCACATTGAATAAAACCAATGAAGGTTTGTACATGGGTCTATAATTGGTCACTAAATAGTAAAGGTGGCATCCTTTGGGTGAAATCACAGTCCCATCTGCCTGTCCTGATGAGTGTTAAAGAGCCAGTGACACTATCCAAAAATAGAAGGTGATTTCTACTAATGTCATGGCCAAATTGTGGCACTCAATTCATGGCTGTTTGTGGGACATTTCAGTGATTTCTGGATAGCTATAAAATAATTACTTGTCAATTTACTTAATAGGTTTTTGCTCAATGTAATCAACTGCTGGTTTGAGTTACCAGGAAAGGGTGGTAGAGGCCAGAATATGAAATTTATTTAAGAAACAGCTTGATGCTGTGAAGGGAAGCCAGGAAGACATTTTTTTTGGAACATGAGAGTGGTTTAAGACGGCTTTGTTCATTTCTACCTCTCGTGTGATGTTTTTCTTTTTAAAAAAATTGCATTGGTTACAATACTTTTTTTAATATAAAACATGAATGTTGTGTAAAGGTTTGTACTTAACCTGAATCAATTGTCTTTCTCAACTTTATAGCCTGATGAGATGGGAATAAAATTCTCACAAATTTTGAAAATTATTTAGATTTCGCAAATCACAGTGAATAAAACTATACTTTACCCACTGTCATATATATACTGATCATTCTGACCTTAATTTCCATTTATCTGCCAATTCTATTTTCAGCACCAATTGTATGCTGCTGATATTAACTATAGGTTTAAGGTTTCCGTAGATATTTGCAATAATTAAAATACTTGCATTTGATAAAGCATCTATAACTGTGAAACATTTCAAAGTGTTTCATTGCAGTAAAGTGTAGTGATTGTGTGCGGAAAGAATCAACCAATGTAGGCACCTTTCTCTTTCTGAAGTGTCATGGAATCTTTAACTTCCAATTGAACAGGCAATTGTTTAACCTCTCATTTGAAAGATGGTACCTCTGACAGCACAGTGCTCCACCAGCATTGGAGAGTCAGCCCAGAATGTGAGCTGAAAGCTTCAGTGTAGGGCTTCAACCCACAGCCTTCTGATCAAGAGGCAAGAGTGATTGCAACTGAGCTAAGTTTATACCTTTAAATAATGTCTGCGGTAAAAACTGTATTGCAGCATGTTGTGAAGCATCATTTAAAACGCTACTCCTATATTCAATGCACTTTTGTCCCAACAATAAGTATTAATGTGCACTATGGTCTCTTAAATCTGTCACAAATTTTAAGACAAAATAGTCTTCCAGGCTACGATTGCGGGCAATTTTGAACCTCACGTGGGCACTAATAACCCTTACTGAGATGAAAGGTGGGTGCACATCTCTACGTTCCCATGACTGATGTATTTGGCATTTCAGATTGATCCCAGTAGTGAGTGTTTTGTACCTGATACCAAATGCAATGGCCACAAATTTATTCGTATTTCTCGAATCTATAATAAATATCTTCCTTCCATTCACTTCAAATCCTGGTAACAAAAATTACCTGTCGGATTAATAAACAAAAGGTGTCAGCTCTGCAAAAGATCTTTAATTGATCTCTTTGTCTGCTCCACACAAAAAATAAACTGCCATTGCAAAAGAAATTCTGTTGATTACAGGGGCTGTTTCATTATTGAGAAAGTCTGACTTGAACATCTGTGATCAGGGCTCCCTCTGCCTCCTTGTCCTCCTCGACCTCTCTGCCGCCTTCGACACTGTCGACCACTCCATCCTCATACACCGCCTCTCCGCTTTACTTAATCTTCATGGACCTGCCCTTGCCTGGTTCGATTCCTATCTCTCTCACCGTCTCCACTTCGTTGCCTCTCACGGTTTCTCCTCCAGCCCCCAGGACTCTGTCTTGGCCTTCTCCTCTTTAATATCTACATCATCCGCAGACATGGGGTCAACTTCCATATGTATGCGAATGACACCCAACTCTATCTTTCTGCCTCCACCCTCAACTCCAGGACCACTGCTGTCCTGACAGACTGCCTGTCGGACATCAAGTCCTGGATGAGGGCAAATTTCCAACAGTTGAATGTGAACAAGACTGAGGCCCTCCTGATTGGCTCACACCAGCGCCTCAGCACCTCAGGCACTGGCAGCATCAACCTCCATGGTTGCACACTTCAACTCACCAACCCAGTCAGGAACCTGGTGTCTTGTTTGAACCTCAACTGTCTTTTCTGCCCCACATTCAAGCCATGACCCACTCTGCCTTCCCTCACCTCTGTAACATCACCTGACTCCGCCACTACCTCACCCCTCAGGCCACTGAAACTCTTGTTTATGCCTCCATCACCTCCAGGCTCAACTATGCAAATGCCCTGCTTGTCGGCCTTCCCAACTCCTATAATCCAGAACTCTGCAGCCCGTGTCCTCTCCCACACCAAATTCCGTGACCCCATCTTCCCCACTCTCACCCGACTCCATTGGCTCCCTATCCTTCAGAGGATCCAGTTCAAGATCCTGGTCCTCACCTACAAAGCCCTCCATCGTCTCGCCCCAGCCTACCTCTGCAACCTCCCAAACCCCTACCAACCGTTCCCTCCGTTCAGCCGGCTCTGGCCTGCTCCACGTCCCCCGACCCACCTGCCCCACCATTGGCGGGAGAGCCTTCAGCCACTCTGCCCCAACCTCTGGAATTCCATCCCCCAGTCACTCCGCCTCACCCCCTCCTTATCCTCCTTCAAGTTCCACCTCAAAACCCTCCTTTTCGACCATGCCATCGGCCACCCCCCTTCCCCTCCCCTCTCTTCCCCCCCCGACCCCAGCTCGGGTCTGAAATGCTGTACTCTCTCCAGCGCCTTGGGACATCCTCCCCACGTGAAAGGCACTATACAAATGTAATCTTCTTGTTGTTGAAATCAAAGGGTTGGTTGTATAAAACTGTTCCCACAAACAGCAAGATAAACGTCGTGGCTAACGTCAGATCAGAACTTGCTTAAAGGAGATGTTTATGCTGCAGTATTTTCACAGGAAAATAGACACACCACATTTCCAATGTAAGGTTATTCAGTGTTTTGTAATAATTATTTGGCTTTGAAATGTGATTCTTGGCGCTTTTTCCAACAATGTGACTTCACATTCTGACTGGACCCCCTAGCTGCCATTGCTGGTTGCTGGTCTTAAGTTCAGTTCAGTGCTCGGAGGCACAGGATGTTACATAAATGTTGTTGTTAGTTCCCTCATCTTTATCTCCAACACCTGTGGCAGGTCTCTGCTTTAAAAGCATTAAATTAGTAACCCTCAAATATTGTGCACTTTTCTTATAGCCTCTCAGTGATGCAGTGAGGAACAGGAAATGTAAATCTGTGGCTTCTTGCTCCACATTGTTCTGCTGCTGGA